AAAACTATATCAACATCGTACATACACATGTACATACACATCTACATTTTAACATATTGAGATTTTTGTTAATTTTGATAATTGTTATATATACAGGGTTACAGAGTTTCCTAACTTGAGCTAGGTAGCTATTATGATCATCTTTTTTTACATGTCAAAGGTTGACGTTCATTTTAAACAACTTTTAAAGAATAACATTTTTGTTCCGAGATAACGGCTGGACGGTTTTGTTCAAATTTTATACCTGATTTGGGGAAAAATTTTTTGAGTGCCGTAAAGGCTACTTTCACACTACAACTCAAAATTTCTATTAAACTATTTACAACATAACGAATATTTTGATTTCGTTAAAATTTTGGCAGGGTTCATTAGACATAAAAAATGGAAGACTGTCAAAAAAGTTTTTTTTTAAATATCTGGTTTGAACTAGGAAGCTGTTCTGTCAAGAATTTGGCATTTGATTTTCATTTTCACTAGGAGGATCTCGTAAACCATAAGAGAAAAAAGGTTATGCAGAATTATATGTTAATGAATATAATTTCAAAATTTCTTGTAGCTCTACCAATTGCGAAGTTCTGGCCAAAAAATCCGAAAAACCGAGAATGCGCTGGCGATCTGGCCTTCATTTATTTTCAAAGATATCAAAAAATAATTTTTTCACTACTAGCGTCTGATGACATGATCATTAACCTTTTTTCCACTTGTAAAGTAGGCTTTCTCGGCATTTGTTCAAAGTGGTTAATAATGTGAACATTATTAACTAGTAGTCAATAATGAAAACTGTCACGCTGTCACTTTTAGAAAACACAACCCGAAATTTCGCTCAATAAACGTATGAACAAGTTCTCTAAAATGAATAATTGTCACCATACGCCATTTCCAGAGAAATTACATACCTAAAATTATCACATTTTGAAAAAATTCGAACGAAATTACTCTTTGAAAATAGCTCAATGACAGAACAAAATACGGCCTGTTTGACTGGTACTTCTACGTACTTGATTGACATGTTAAATTAATAAACAAAAAATTCTGTCCAACCGTTCCCTTTTTTATCAATATAATATGTTAATTTAGAGGATTTCAAGTGCTAGTAGTGAAAAAAATAGTATATATACCACGGTAGAGAAGTCTATTATTGCCTTCGCACCTTACACCCCTCGGCGCAAGCGCCTCGAGATGTAATCTTGGTGCTCGGGCAATAATACTGTGTTAAAGAAAACTTACAAGTATAGTTTTCCGAGCATATTTATAATAATTAGGTAAAGTTGTGCGCAATGCCTCTCAAATATTCCACCACATTTCTATTTGCATAATGTTCAACTAAAGTTTTTATCCGTCTATCAGCGTCTCTGTATTTTTTTAATTTTGGCGGAGGTTCTTGGCCGGCCACTAATTGTTCATAAAACACATCCCTATGCTTTTGAATTGTTCTGAGAGCATCAATGAATTTCCAGATACTGGGATGATCCACTGAAAGTATATGAATATAAAATTGAAGTGAAATTGTTATTAGGTGTTCTAACAGTAACTAATATAAGCGGCTTGCGCCAAAACAATTCTGCGCCAAAACGATTCTGCGCCAAAACGTTCGCGCCAAACCGCTCGCGCCAAAACACTTGCGTCAAAACGCTCGCGCCAAAACGAAAATAAATTAAGCTACCTATACATATATGTACAGGGTGGAGACTTGCCTAACGCATCATAGAGATTTCAATGTAAAATTCATAACATGCGATTATTGGCTCCCCAAATTATTTTACAGCAAAAATGTATTAAGGTTTTTTTGGAGAAAAAAAATTTTTACGCCAATCAACGGTATTAGTTTTCAATTCTTTTCACAATAAAGACGGAAAATTGGAAAAATAAAACCTCCATCTTTTTCAATAATCTGTGATGCCATGGAATTTTATAATACAAAAACTACGCCAATATCCGTCATGCCATGGTACGTCTGCTATAAAACAAATCAAATTCTATCAAAAAGTATTATATTTAGAACAGCGAATTCAACATAAAGAAAGACCAAATTACTAAAAACGGTTTCCTAATATAACAATTTACAATAAATGTTCGAATAAGTCACCATTAACTGCAAGACAGTAACCAAGTCGATCATAAAATCAATTTCGAACTGCTGCTAATTGATAACTGGATATCTTTTTTTTTAGAAAATTCCATGGCATCGCAGATTATTGAAAAAGATGCGAGTTTTATTTTTCCAATCTTCCGTCTTTATATGAAAAAAATTGAAAATTAATACGGTTGATTGGCGTAAAAGAATGTTTTCTACAAGAATCTTAACACATTTTTGCTCTAAAATAATTTGGGGAGTCAATAATCGCATGTTATGAATTTTACATTGAAATCCCTATGACGCGTTACGCAAGTCACCACCCTGTATAGAGAAATTGATTCAAAACCTATTAAAAAAACAACAAATAATTTAATGCAAATATAATAAGAATGTATCTAATGCAACATAAATGGATCCATGCAACTTAGCAAGTTGTTTAAAGTAGAACTGAAAACATCCTTATTTCCACAAAATTTATTATATATTCTAGCTAGATGAATTAAAAATCGGTGACATAAATAACACGTTAGTTTTTGGTAGTGGCACATGAATTGAACTATTGCGAGAATGGTAAGGCGGTACTAAAAAGTTAATTTGGTACAGAAAGTCAGGGCACAGATAACATTTTGGGTATTTTATGTGTGGTCAGGGGCATCAATCCTTTCATGCAGAATTATTAATTACGGTCAATTTTTATTGGTACATAACTGAAAAATACTTTGTTTTGGATTCCTTCTATTGTTTTTGCAATCTGTTGGATTTTCCGTCGTTTGTCTGTCTGTTCCATCGAGATCTCAGCCCCTGGGCCACCTAAAAACTTCGGATTTTCGCTTGAGAAAATAGCTGCTATGGTCTATATTTGCGCTACTCATTTACAGTTGTGCTACGCGGCAACACCCACGTGTAGGTTTTGAAAAATATGTTTAATTCTTCAAAACCCGTTTATGGAATTTTTTTGCTTTTATTTTAATGTCACAAGGCATCATATAATTAATAATTGTAATTCCTAATTAGAATTAATTTAGTTTTGCCAAAAATCTTAGTTTTTTAAATTTGACATTTTTTTTCTTAGTCTTTTTGTAATAAAACTATAATAAAATTGTAGTTTATACACAGAAAAATAAGTTCATTCCTTCGAATACCTTAATAAAAATTTTAGGTTGTTTTTTGAAAAAAAAAAAAATTGATGCCGTTACGCGCTTAAAATCCAATATGGTGTCCGTAAGGAATAAGAAAGTTAATGTGATTCACTCCAAACGCACAAGTCATAAAATTTTGATTTTAAAATCGCCAGAAAGCTCCAGGTCATTTTATACTGTTGAAAGTTACTCCCAGGACCTTTACATTGTGCATTCTCTCAATAGGTTGATCATAAGTTTAAGTTCAGTTGGATCTTTGATATCGTGACCACGATTAAAAAGTATATACTGACATTTTGAAGGTGAGAACTTGAAGTCACTCGTTTTAGTCCATTCTTGGAGTTTAATAAGTGAATCATGAGTGCATCATCTTAAAGGTCAATTGAACGTTGCTTCCTTGAAGGATGTTGGGTTTTAGTTTTAGTAGTAGCGGTAATTAACTTTAACCGATTTTGATTGCATTATAATTGTATTGAGATGCGCATATATCTAGCAGCGCTTGAAGAATGTAAAGAATTTGATTAACCTCGATATTTAAAAAAATGAAGAATTTGAAGGATCCAAAGGATGCTACGAATACAAAGAATCCAAGTAGTCTTTAGAATCTGTAAAATTAAACGAATTCCAAATTTTTTAAATATATTTAAAAGGCGTGTCAATCCTCAGAAGTCTTTTACAATGGAGCAGAATGTTTTTGTAAATGTATCATTGTGATATTGTTTTTACATATGATGTAATGTAGATGTCTGACGTGTAAAATATAATTGTAAATTCAATTACAATCTACAAGTATAAAATGTGTATAAATATTAATGACTTTATTTATAGGTTGATATTTCGCAAGATTTTCTATATTTAGGTAATCAACAAACACTCCAAATTGGACTTATCTGTCCCCACTTCTTATACTGATAAGCGACTCAAATTGTTTTCGAAAGGATTTCATAGTTTTAAAGAATCTGAGTAATTTGGAGCAATTTAAAATTCGAAGGATTTGAAGAATATGGAAAACATGGGAGAATTTGCAAGATTCGACTAATTCCTTGAATGTGAAAATGTGGAATAATTCGAAGAAACGGAAAACTTCTATGAATCTGACGTATTTGAAGGATATAAGGAAAATGAAGGATTCGAAGAAAAGAAATACAAAAGTTTGAAGAAGCTTATGGATTTTAAAAGTCGGAAAAATTCGAAGAATCTGAAGAATACAAATAATCGTAAAAATCAGATCACATATAGATCTGAAGATTGATTGCATTAAAAAACTGAAAAATCCAACGAGTATTAAGATTTTAAAGATTGTGTCTAAATATTAAAAATCGCTTCTTATTTGTCACCGTTGAGCAAAAATTGACATTTCTGAACACAGGTGAGTTATTTGGTTTGGGAAGATGATTTTAGTGCAATTTGTGCTCCTAAATATAAAAAAATTGGGTTTTATTAGAATTGCGCCCTGGGGTTTGGGGCAGATTAAGGGACTGAAGGTGTCTTAACACGTTACTAAATAGTCTGTATAATTTTAGGTATTCGTTGATGGTTTGTGGTACACATCAAAACAGGGGTGTACTCGTAGAATCATATAGTGTGAATTCTGTCCATGGTTCATAGCAAACTTAAGATGCGGGTCTAACAAAAACTATTCCAATGGTTAAAATTAAAATTGTCCTGTGGAACAGTGACTCTTGTACCACCCGATTGGGTAATTTGATATCTATCAAAAGAATAACCTCCTATCCTCCTAAACAGACAAGTAATTTATTTATCATTCTATTACTATAATAATATTGCATTTTCATGTTGACAAGCTGTAAATGTAGTCGATGAGAGTATCGATTATCTCTGATGGCATATCCTGTTTGCACGTTGACGTTGTTTTCACGACACAGCTTTGGAACTGTTTGACTTCACTACAAAAAGAAATCATGTTCCATACTTTCACTTTGAATTGCACAATACTTACTCGTATTCTAGCTTTTCCGTGGATTTTGGAAAAGCATCGTTTCCGCATTTCTCCAATTCTTCGGACTTTTCGTTCAGGCATGCAAGACCATCTTCTAATGCGCCGAGCACTTGAAAAAGCATTCGCGCATCATTGAAACTATGGCAGGGCGACGATTTGTATATCTCATTTAAAAAATCATTGATGAGTTTCGCTGGCTCATTCTTGTTGCATTTTCCTAGTGTTTGAACCATGCACTCCTGGATTCTTTTATAATTCCTATAATGCAGAATGAGTGACAAAATCTTGTGATTAATCTACAAAGCTTACTTGCACAGTTCTTGATTAAACTCAAAACTTTTGATTGTGCTCGGGAGGTCAAATGCACCAAAACTTATATCCCCCCCACATTTTAGCAGGGAAACAATATCACCCATCACACAATCTATGCCATCTTCTGCTACAAAAGCTTCAACGCAGTACCTAGTACTGTTTTTTTGAGAAAAAAAAAACTACTTACAAATAATTCGCACCCCATCATTTTCGCAAGCATAATTGATGGCTTTCTCGGCCATATTTCGGAAATGTTGAAGCTTTTGTCTGAATCCTATTTCACTGCATTTCATTGCTCCATCTGACAGCTTCTGTACGGATTGGATCAGCGGAACACTTAAGCGACAGTAATTCTTAATCACTGCACTTAAATTTCCAGTTTTTTTCGCTTCTTTAACGTCCTGATTAAATCCTTTGAAATGACTGTCATAAAAATCGATCACTTCCGACCAGACTTTCTGCAAGACCCTCTTTTAATATACGAATTAGAAGTGTGTATTTACCTTTAGGTTCTCGTAGGCACCAGGACCCCCATTTTTATCACAACTATCTTTAATCCATTTTTGAATATTTTCTAAGATGCTAACTAGAGCTTGTACTACTTTCCCTAATGTTTCCACTATTACCTTAATGGCTTCAAAAAAATTTTGAATTCCATTTTGACCCCAAGCGAGGGCTGAAAATAGTAAGACGATTTTCCAATGACGTGATTGATCAATTCCTTATAGATTACAAAAAGGTAGACACTTACCGACCAGTAAAAGTAGTCCGAAAATTATTTTCATGATTGACTAACCACTGACAGACAAACAGAGGTTTAAATACCTTACGTAGGTGTTATTCAATGATAGCAGCACAGATTAACTATCTATCTGTGGTAGCAGGGTGTGTTTTCCTCATACTTTTAGATAGTGTAGAACAATATTGATACCTATGATTAAAAGCTCGACCGAAAAATATTTTTTTCCTGTTAAAGTAGCAACTGCGTTCTTAAGTAGACGTGAGTGATCCCCGAATATTTTTCCAGGGAAATTCTTTTCCAAAAGACCCTATAAAAACGTTCTACCTCTCAGCATATTGGCATTTCGCCGCGTAGTATTCTAATTAGTTTGAGTAATTTCCGTTGGAAATTGGCCCCCAGCCTCTGGAATATTTATCCAAAATATTTGGGGTTCTTGTATACAAGCACAAATAAGCAAAAAAAAGGGACCGGTAAAAAATATCACAAATGGGACACTAATATAAATAGATCTGGTATGTCAATATTGGAATTAAAATAATCTTTAGTAAAGAAGGAATCAACACGTACTAGTCGGGAAAAGTATTTATCAAAACAGGCTTCCGCAGAAACAACGGAGCTATAATCATTAAATGAGTTTCAATGAACAAAGTAACAATCATTTTCCCTAGTATCGAAAACCAACCTGTAAGGGAAAAATGACGAAAATAACTAAATTTACCTTTGAACTTCCGGTCGCAACCTGTTGAGCTCAAGAGGACGCGAAACTGCAAATCTGTAAACAGACAGATACATAAACAAAAAAAATAAGAGGGGTAATGATTCGCGTTGCACAATATATCGCATAAGCAATGGTTAACGTTTGACACGAGGGTTTATTCTGATACGTAGAATTGCAATCAATACTTAAAAGAATTAAAATTTAAATGACTTAACATCGTAACAATCGGAACGTAGGTCAACGAACTTTGTATAATTGGGTCACCAGTCCAATTCGGTTGTTTAATTTCGCTCGAAATGGCGGGTAATTCTTCAGTTGATAAGGTAGAAATATCTATGGCGTTCTCGCAAGATGAACGGAAAGCAGGGAGGGTACTGTTCGGCAGATATATGAGTAAAATTCAGAGGTTGATGCAAGAAAAGAAGAATGCACTTAATAATTATTTGTTGGTCATGTAAATATCAAAATTTTCCCTGGCAACTGTACACATTACAGATACTACATGTGTGGGGCTGTAACACGAAATTTGCGCGTTGTAAATGTAAACCGCGAGTACATCCCGCGCAAACAACAAACAATATTATGTATTACTGGAGATTGTAAAGTTTGAAGCGAAACTTTCGTAAAACAACAACCGACAAAAAAAAGATATTTACAAACTTGCGATCTCTTGTAAACGAAACCAACGTTCGCGGAACTTTTATGTTCAGTACGTTCAAGTTACTAATACGACGGTAGATTTTGTTTGCCTGAAGTTCTGAATATTGTTAAGATCAACGAAAAGTTAATTAAGCTCTGTGAATATATAAGCAATTTATGATCGGAAAAAAATCTGTTTTCCTTTCAAAAACATCAAGTACTTTTTTGGTATAATAAAAGGGTTTTGTTACATTCAAATGTATACGCAGAAATTTGTTAATATCCGGTTGAACTTTTATTTCATTGATTGTATCTGAGTTTACTACGCACAAAGGATTAGGAAAATCAATTGGAGCAATTCTACTTTTTAGTGTTGAAAACACTTATTGGATGCTAAGTCGGAAGGTTAGTGTAGCGAAGATATGAAACGCTCTGATGTTAGAAGACGCAACGTGCTAGGGTGGGGATTTGGGGAAGCGGTCGTTGTTGCTAACTACGTGACATAAAGTTAACTCGTAAACGAACGTCTAATAAATTATGACTATGTTTCGAAACATTAGGAGGTTGAGAAGATTTGGGGTGGAATGTAGGCGGCATACCGTCACTTATGCCAACTGAAGACTGAAACCTTACACCCTAAACGAGATTACTCTGATTGAAAAGATTGTAATTGTTCTTTTATAGTACTTTTGCCCCGAAAATTCACAAACTAAATTCAAAATCCCCAAGAGCTCGGGCCTGGCTATTCAACAGTAAATATACAGTATTTTATGTAACATAAGAGAAGATTGAAATACACTAAATATTCAGGTGGATCATAATTCCTTTATCATAATAGTATATTGAAAGACAAGTGTTACAATGCGACCTATTGTAATACGACTATCTTGTGGCACGAGTGGCGACGCGAAGCGTAGCCACGAGTGTCCGCAAGATAGGAGTATTACAATAAAGCATTGTAACACGCGTTTTTCATACTATTTTTCTATTTCGGTGCTTTAATTTAATTAAAAAAATCATTATCAGAAACTATAGGGAACATTAGAACTAACATGTTTTATGTTGGGAACACTTTTATGCCGTTAAGTTTTAGGTTGGCAGCATAGTAAGACTGACATTTTGAAGTTCAATCATGGAAGTACCCAACGAAGTACCTACTTGTTCTAACTAGTAACTGCCAACTTAAGAGATGAGTTCCCAAAAAAAAACGACTATAATCACTGTCTTTGTACAACTGTTTTCGGCCGAAAACAGTTGTACAAAATCATCATTGTGACACCGAAATAGAAAAAAGATTTTTCCTTTTCGAAATCAAATTTCTAATTTTCTAAGTAAACTCAGCAATTTTTTACCAAAAATAATTCTAAACTCACGGCTAGCTCTATATTAAATTTTACTATGATTAATTGATTTATTTAAGCTTTCTCTTCTTTCCAGTTTTCTGAAATGATTTCACTTAATTTTTCTACGATATTCTCGCAAATTCAAAAGCAAAATTACCACTTTTTAAATATATTATTTTTTAGAAAATTGTGCAACCCATTAAATTGGAATTTTCGGTTAATCTTGAACGGAAATAACGATGAAGACAAAACGCAACTCCTTTTAAAGAAAGACAAAACGGAAGTTCTTCCTTAAAGATTCAAACCTTTAATTTTACATAAATAAAATAAATAGTACCTCAGCATCTTTTTGCAGACGACAATGTTGATACAGCTTCTTTGCCGTTCGTGACTTAACAACAAATTAGGAAAGATAGGCGAAGGATAGTGCACAATGGAGTCTTGCCGACGGTAATACGAAACTTCTTTGAATTTTCAAATAACGCAAAATTTCTCGGAACGCTAGCCTTTCTGGTATATCCTTGTATCTTAAAAGTTACGAGCAAACCACCATTTTGTTAATACAATGATTTGGCGTTGACGAGTTTGACACATTTGACAATCTTATCACGATGGTCTTGAGAGGGTGAGCACCCCACAACCAAATGCTACCGTGAGAGTGCAAGGGTATGATTGTTGTAAATTTCAATCGACAGCCTTATTATCTAATTAAGAACGCAAATTTTGAACTATTACTGGGAGAAGTGATAGCCAAACGAAGGATTTTAAAGTTGTTGAAAAACTTTTTTTGTTTATTGTGTTTTTTTGTATTCTCATCGGAAGAAATTTCTGAGTTTGAAACTTTTATTTCGTGGAGTCAAAGTGAATTTCAATTAAATTTCTTAGTAAGGGAGTCGAACTCAGCAGGTTACCACGATATATAGAGTCAACATTAACCAAAATAAGCTACTTTGGCAGTATAAATTTTCGCACCACTTAAATTTAAGAAAGAGATCGCCATTTCTCCTTAAGAAGTAATTACTCAGGTCCGTACTAGGTAGGTATTTCAGGTTTAAGTCATTTCATAAAAAAATACTGAGGAAATGCATACAGTATCCCAATATTTTCCTTGTCTGTTTTTATTTTATATTGTTATGTATGAGGGACCTACCCAAATTAAATAATAATTTTGAAATTATTTATTTTTCCAACTCATACACTTCTCCTGACTAGCAAAATGAACGTTTGTCAATCCTCACCTTATCTCAAACACAGATGTCTCAACCCTATTTAATTAATTTCTTTCTTTCCACTTTTATTCACCCCCAGCACGGCGGCGCGAGCATGAACAAAAAAAAAACTGACACTCAATAGCTCAAGTTTGGGTTCGAAGAAAAACAAAAGAAATGGCAACTTCCTTCTCAAATTAAATAAAACTTCCTCTATTCTACACTAACCCTCAATATTCCACCATCAAATAAAAACCTTCCTAACACAATTTTTAATTAGTTCAAAATTTTTTTTTTAATTAAATTCACACAGTAAAAACGGTAATTAAAAGTACTGACCTTTATTGTCTATTCCTCCGGGTTGCATGCCGAATCCCATCCTTATTTTCTTCAATGTCCAACACACATTTATTTAAAAAAACTACAGTTCACCGTGCACGGCTATTATTTTATTTTTATCTTTCTTCTTTTTTTCCGAAGCTCGTTCTTTTTCCACCTATTAAAAATCACACACACTCTCTCTCCTTCACCCCGACGTCCTATTGCTCTTCCTTCTCAACTCCAATTCCCCATATCCAGTCCCATCGCAACTCCGGCATGCCTCCTAATCACTCTATCCCGACCACCTTTGTCCCCTTTAATACCAGTATCTTCACCTTGATTGCTGTCTGCCTGACTTTTATCCTTGTAGAATGTTACTCAAACTTTATGCACAAATTATTCCAAATTAAATTACACATTTTTCTTGCTTACTTACTTAATGTTTATTTTAACATTTATTTTATTTATTATTTTTTTTAGGAACAACACAACCAACCCAAACTCTCGATAGCACAAAAAAAATATGACCACAAAAAAATCATTCCCACCCGTACGTACTTACGAGGCGTTCCAAAAGCAAAAAAAAAATTGAAATTAAAATAACACGGCAATATATCAAAATTCAATCATTTCTGTCGTTGTTATTGGATTGGAAGCATAAACAACCCTTATTGTAGCAAATATTTCAGCTGGGGGTGGGCCCTATATGAACAGGTAAAGTAAAGGAGCGACCAGTTGAAGCTAGTTACCAGAGCATTCTATTTCAATGTTATATTTTTGTGAGTTTTCTGATGGCGATATTCATTTTTCAATC